GTCCAAGTCGCTGATGAAGATGTTAAACAGTGCGGGCCTGAGGACCAAGCCCTGGGGTACCCCACTGGTGTCATCTCGCCAGGTTGGGTACAACCCATCCACCACTACTCTCTGGGTGCGCCCCATCAGCCAATTTTTTACCCATCCAACTGTGTAGGCATCAATGCCATAGTCGCTTAATTTATTGATGAGGATGGAGTAACAGACAGTGTCAAAGCCTTCTTAAAGTCTAGAAAGACTATGTCCACAGTGACACCATCATCCAAGGATTTAGTCACTTGGTCATAAAAGGCAATCAGGTTGGTCTGGCAGGACCTGCCTTTGATGACCCCATGCTGATTGCCCCTGAGCATGATCTCCCCTGCAGGCCCCCCACAGATGTGCTCCTTGATGATCCTCTCCAAGATCTTCCCCAGTACCGAGGTGAGGCTTACGGGCCTATAGTTACTTGGTCCTCCTTCCTCCCCTTCTTGAAAATAGGGACCACGTGAGCCAGTTTCCAATCCCCCGACACCTGGCCAGATGACCACGAATGCTCATACGGCTGGGCCAAGGGCTCCACGATGACCCCTGCCAGCTCCCTCAACACCCTTGAGTGGAGGGCATCTGGACCTGCAGATTTAAAAATGTCTAGCCCTTCCAGAAGATCCCTAACTACATCTGCGCTGACTGAAGGCTTGATAGAGCTATCCTCAAGATTGTCCCTACCTCTGGTAGGTGGGATATCCCGGTCCCTGTTCAAGAAAACAGAGGCAAAGAAACTGTTAAAAATCAGAAGGACTCAGGATGCTGCAGGTGTGTTCCAGAGACTTTCATGATGAGAAAGAATTATCATTTTAAGATATACTTATGAAGACAATAAAAAGGTAAAAATTAAGATTTAATTATGAAGACAATAAAAAGTTTCTTTGGTCATTTATTACAGTTCCTGGCTCTCCTTTCCAGAACATAAAAGGCATAGCAAGACTAGGCCAAAACTTACTGCAGTGATATCTGGCTCATATAATTAATAATATTTTGTTATAACAGTGCCTGTCAGTTCCAGCTGGGATGGGAGCTCTTTTCCACTATGCACCAAGCATATGTAGTGAGAAACAGTCACGCTTTCCCCAAAGACCTTAGCATCAACATAGACAAAACAATAGGTGGTTCTTGATCAGTGGAACAAGAACCTAGGTGTGCAGTGCCCCAGTCCTCTAAATTTCCCTCCCTCCCTTTCTATTATGCCTTGCTTACAACTGAAGCTGAGTGAATGTTCCCTTATAGAATGCCTTTTTTCTGTAAAATGCAGATTGAAAAATCACACAGGGAAGGGTCAACTTTGAGATACTGTTACAGAAGCTTTTCTAAGTGTAACAGGGAACCTTGCCCTCTTACAGAAGGAAGGACCCCTTTAAGGGCAGGATTTTTGTTAACCGGACAAGTGCAGCTGGCTAGGCTGGTGTTAATAATCAGCCTTCCAGCAGGTCCAGTGAGAAAGCCCATGACCAGAAAGAGGGCAGGACTCTGACGTAAGCCAAAACCAGAACAAGAGCAGGGATCTGGCCCTGGGAGCTGCAGAGGGAAGAGATCCAACCTGGGAGTTACAGAGGAAAACCTCGGGAACTGTTGAGCTGCCTTGGGGTTACCAGTGAGACTCTGGGAGCTTATGGGGATGAAACCCGGAGCTGGAGTTTATGAAGGTACGAGTGAGGGCTACCACAAGTGTGTCCGCCTGCACTCAGGTAGGGGAAAGGTTTTCCCTCTAGAAGGCCTGTTTTCTCTTTTGCTAGTGACCGAGGGTCCAAAAGAGAGAGTTTGTGTTCTAGCCAGGGGGCTTATTTTTATAGTTTTATAGTTACATTTTAGACAGGTGGTTTGGGTCAGGACTTTGAGGGGCAGTTTTTAGGAGATCCCATTAGTGCCCATGGGGCATGCAATCATCTCGAGCCCTGCTGGGGGCAGGCTTAAGGCAGAACAAGAAAGCAGAGCCCAGAACATGGCAGAACTTAGAGCCAGGGGGACTCAGCACCCGGAGCAGGACAGAACTTGGAGCAAGGTTCCCAGCACCCAAGAGGGCAAGACTGGAGCTAGTGCTTAGAAGCCAGGTGCGATACAGGGGGCTCGAGCTTGAAGGCCCATCTAGAGGGAAGTAGGACACAGGTCAGAAAGGTCAAAGCAGGAGAGTGATGATACAGTGACGCATGTTATGCTTGGGGCATGGAAAGTGTCAAAACAGTGCTCCACACTCCAAATGCCATTTTGTGCTTAAACATGCCATGTTTTGAAAAAAAATTACAATGGAAAAAAAGTACCCAAAATCTTTTCTATTGAAAATTTCCTTTCCTGGCAAATGCTGTAGGGCCTCTCCTTTACATGCCCTCCCTGTTGTCTCGGGCACTCCAGAAGCCTGAATAAGCAGCTTGGTCTCCTTATAGAGTGCATGAGTAGAGTTAGGTGCTTCACAGTAGTCACTGCAATAGCCAGTCTGCTGAGTCTGGCAGAACTGATAGCAACCCCTACTTACAAGCTTATAACCCCTACTCATTCTCATGGACTTATACACCTCACTCTGATGAGGATTCACAAATATAAAACTAAGCTGAAAACATCACTGTGCCAGTTTATGAATCCAGAATACAGCCACATCTGGGGTACTGCATGCAGTTCTAGTTACCCCATCTCAAGGACAGGGTAGAGCTAGAAATACAGAGGAGGACAGCAAAGACCATTAGATCAATAAAAGTTTCCACATAAGGAGAGACCAAGAAGGCTAAGACATTTCTGGTTGGACTAATGGTGGATCATAGCTTCCCTCTGCTATCATTTTATAGATGATGGAGACCTATACAAATGAGAACGGCATAGGAAAAGTGAATAGAGAACTGTGCTTCACTTAGACATTTTTGGCATTTACCCAGTTTTAAGGTTCTGGTTTCACCTATGGCAGGTTGACCAGGTTTGCCCACAATTGCCCACAGAAAAATGAAGGACACTCTAACTTATGCCAACAAAAGCCCAGTAGTTCACGCCCTTCCCAGTGGAACTGGAAGCATACATTCTAGGCGGGTCTCTTCCAGTAGGGCCCCAGTCTTCACTGCCTTCCTCTGTAGCAGGGTAAATGTGGTCCTCTTGCTTGGACCTCTGACATGTACTCTTAACCAACACTTTCCATTTGATAGCAGGACACTGAAAGTGCCCACATCCACCTGCTTTACCTGTAGCAAGAAAAAGTGTGTTTTGATGTTTGGGGCATTGGGTCTGGAGCGGGTGTGTTAGGGTTCTTCAGAAATTTTAAGCACGGGTTAGACAAACAATTCTTTTGAACAGTTTATATAGGGTGATTCTGCCTTGAGCAGTGTTTGGACTAGATGACCCCCTGGAGGTCGCTTCCAGTCCTATTTTTCTAAAATTCTGTAATTTCATGTTCAGCAAGTTTCTCTAATCAGCAGGCCCTAAGCTAAAAATGCCCTAGACTATCCTCCAGCCCTGCTCTAGGGA